AAAGTGCGGGAACAGATGTTAAAAGTTGTTTTCTTGCAAAAGAGTGTGAAATGTAGACAAATAGCAAAAAAAAGAGCAGTCAAAGCTGAGCTGTCCCTTGTTTTTCGGGAAAGCGAGGTGGAAAGGCAGGCTTTGCCTAATCTGGAGAATCTACCTTTTCAGTCAGATCTGGCAGCGTGCAATGTAAAAGTAAAAAAGCAAATTGCAAAATACTTTCTTTAATTTGCATTTGCCCGCATATTTCCCAGACAATCCCAAGCACAGATGTCCCTGAATGAAGGGTTACTTCTTAGCCATCACAGCTCTTTGATTCTAAAATAAAGGCTTGAGCCCTGAATGAGAAATGCCAAAGAACTGTTTACAGCTAAAGCTGCCCTTATTGACATTTTGGATGCTGTCTTACAAACCAATTTTGAAATGCTCCTACCAAAAACATAAGTTATTTGCAAACGCTGTGGTATATGAGATGAAAATATTAGATCTCACTCTTCAAAGCACATTGCACAAAACAATGGGCCAAACTCACGCCAACAGAAAAACATATACATCATAGGAGTTACAAGAGGAACAGATATGCCCCCAAATGGTCAGATAACATTCAGGGTGACCTTTTCCACGGGCCTTATTTACTGCATCTGTAATATGTGTGGGCTCATCCATTTCCACGTTCAAAACCCACCATTTGGATCTAAAAGAAGCCTGGTAAAACTCACATGGACTTCAACAGGAGCAGAGTCAGGCCAGTGCTAAATGTTGTTAAAAATCCCACATTAGTCTCTGACCCAAGCTTGGGTACATGCACAGGATTAAGCATGTTTTACCTTTGGCTAGCACCACTGATTACATGTGTTCCTATAATAGTATAACTGTCCTTTTACAAGCATCTCTTTCCTGCTTGCAAGGGAGCAGTAGATCGGTTTTCCAGACTTTGCCTTCCTGGCTGGTACCACTGTTGGAAAGATTTTCAAATTGAAGGAAGAGAGAGATTGAAATATAGCTAGTGATGATAGCAATATACAGAAACATGTAGGTAAGTAGCTATATTTGAATGTGTAAATATTCATATTTTCATGCCCTGTTGTGGCTGCAGCTGCAAAAATTATGGCCACCATTAAAAGTTGAGAGATGATATTTTTCTGGGACAGTCCCAGTTTTTCATATGATGTCCCATATCCAAGGAACTTTCTTTAGGATACCTGAAATGTCCCCACCCCCCGTTTGTTCCAGACTTATTGCTACAACAAATAGTAAACATTTCTTGCATCTGTTTCACTCCCATTACGTAAAATGTGTGCATTTTGCATCAGCCATTATTCGAGGGCAAAGTTTGGCATAATATATCAGCCAATGACATTGTACAAGGAGTCTGATGAGTCCATAACCCACTTAGTCAACACAACTCCATTCTCTGACCCCTCAGGAATGGGAGGGAAAATACAGGGAGCTGGTGGGGCACAGGAGACTGTGGGGAGGTTGTAAGGGGCACATAAACCTGTGCAGGACAGGCAGTGGGATAAGATAGTGCTAAGAGGGAGGGGGATGGAGCTGGATACAATAGCAGCTCTCCAGGGCACAGGAGTGCGTGAGGGAATCCCCTCCAAGCAGCCAGCAGGGAGGCCTGCATTTTTGTGTGTGCATTTGAGATCTAGCTCAGAGCCTGAAATGATCCCACGTTGATCAGGAGGGGAAGCCTTCCCCTAAAGGCTCCAATATCAAAAGGCAGGTGAAAAACAAGGAGACTGATCATTGTTAGGCCAATCTCAGGATTTTGTGGAGTCTGACCCCAGAGGTTTGAATGCCAGGGGTTGACAGTATTGGGTATGATCACCCATGCCATGGAGAAGAGGGCAGCAAGGGGCAGGGGTGAGAAGGGAGACGAGGCAGAGTTCAGTCTCTCTTGGATCTGTTTTGTCACTGTCCGTAAGCACTCTGTAACCCTGCTGTGACAGTATGAGGTTTTGATTTTGAAAATAAATCGCTTCCTTGGGAGGGTTGGTCCTGGGGATGTAATTAAAGGCCACAGAAACTAGTAGATTCAGAGTGACAGCGTTGAAAGCACAGGTGCAATCACAGTGGGTGTGGGATATTGGAGGAGAACAGGGGACCGACATGTCCTACAGCTTTTCACTCTCCTGTTAATGTTTCACATGAGGCAACTTCAGGACTCATGCATCCTCATTCCTGATCCTCCTCACTGAGCCTGGATTCCCACAGGAACTCTCTGGGAAGATCCTCTTCTAGTTTCCCCCTTGTTGTGCCATAGGACCCCTCCTCAAACCTGACAGATCACAGGAGATGCATGGGAGGCCAGGGCTATTTGTACATGAGCCCTGTGCTTCCGCACTGGCTATGGTATGAAAGTGACGGAGGAAGGATGAGGGAATTGATGATGCGCTGTCAGCAACTGGAAGTGTGTTTATGATTAGAAAGGCACTCAAGTCGCAAGAGCCAGAAACAGATCTGGACTGGGGACACCCCCGAGTTCTGGGGGTTTGGATCCAGCACAGGAGGACAACACTGGAAAGGGGTGGAGCAAGGAATGAGTCTGATGGTCAGACAGGGAAAAGACTTAAAGGGATCACATGGCCAAAGATCAATGGAGCTCAAATAAATGGAGCTCATCAAGGGAAAGATGACCAAAGACCCACTGGATTGCAGAGAACCCCTCCAAAGGCAGTCAGGTTGAGGACAGGGGAGAGGCAGCAGCCCTCTCTCATCCTCCCAATCTGGTTATATCTTTAATAAAAATTTCAGGAGAGTCCAGTCCCTTCTGCTCTCCTTGAGGGAATCAGGTAAGGCAGTACAGGGTGAGGTCAGTGTTAACGCCCACTCCCTGCAAGGGTGAGGGGGTTGGGATAGGAACTGAGCAGCTTGATGTCCTTCAACTTCATTTACAAGCGTTTCCCACCTCCCCACCCTGAGCAGCTCTGCAATGTCTCCCCATCCAGCACGGGAGCTGGGTCGGGGAGAAGGGGCGGAGGGAGGGCAGATCCCTTCTCTTCCCCAGACACTGGGCCAGCCTTTCCTAGGAGAAATACACTCTGTTGCAGGAGGGTACATGACCTTCTGGGGCTTAATCATACTACAAAACTGTAACTGATAGTCAAGAATGAACCTTATAGCTGCTATCCAAGCAGCTCCTCCACCAGACTCCAGTGCTGACAGCTCTTACGGTTTTATTGCAAGTTTCATGACATATGTTGTTCTTCTTAAAGCCCCAGCTCCTGGAGTTATATGGTTATGTCAGAATCCCAGCTTTTTTTTTTTTAAGGTAAGTTTCTAGTTCTCCTGACCATGGAGAAAAGCTTGGAAATGTGAGCCCAGAAAGCTCTCAAACCAGGGAGCCATCCTCATAGTTTGGAGGACCTGGCTCATGATTTTGAATACTTGGGGATAGCAGTACTGAGGACCTAACAGGAGTATCTCATCAGGGGGCAGTGTAACACCCTTTTATTTTCTATTGCTAGGTGGATTATACCAGGTAATCCGTTTCACTGCTACCCTCGCAGAGTTAGGTGGTCACCCTTATTTGGTATTAAAGAATGCATCCTGGTGCCCATCTCAACACACACCCTCTCTTGTATATCAGAGAAAATGCATAACAATGTCCCACTTTCCCACAGAGTGATATCACCACAATCCTTTATTAAGTAGGGCACTCCTTTCACCAAGAAATAATCTGACAGCCTCGCTGTGTTTTGATAAACTGAGAGCCTCCACAGGTAGTACAACACTTGTGTAGATACAATACATGCACAAAGAGCAGAGCTGTAAATAGAGTATCTAGATACACTGTATAGTGTGTATATGTACATATATAAAATCATACACACGTGTATTGTTTATAAGAGAGAGAAGAAGCGTGTATTTTGTTCTCACGGGTCTGTGACACCCTCCCTCTTCCTTTGGGGGAGCCTGGCACTTAGTGACATCATTTTGTAGTTGTGTGGTTGGGGAGGTATGGGAAGACCTTACAGTGGAAGGGGGAGAGGCTTTTAGTTCTTCTGAAGCTACCCAAGACTTTCCTGTCTGCTAAAATAAAGTGATACATTCAACACCTATTTAAAAGAGATAATCTATCAGACTCGACAGGATACTAGCAAATCCTGCTTATTAGCAAAACAATCAGAAAAGAAGAGCTTGTTCATGAAACCCCCCTGAGATTTTCCTTAAAAAAAAAAGTATAAAGGTAAAATATAAACACATAGTGAGGAGATATGTCTAAGTGTTCCTTAAACAGCCACATGCTTTTGCATTAGTATTTCAGAGGACGAAAAAAACATTTTCAATAGTGTAGTCAGAAAAGATACCCTTATGGAAAAGTCCAGTGGAATGTAATAGGCATGAAACCCAAACAGTTCTGCAGAAAAGCAACAAAGGTCTATAGATAGTTGAAATATTAAATTCTATAGGATGATTACAAAAATAGAAAGGGTTATTTTCTGTTCTATAAACTTTTTATAATACTTTTATACAGCTGGATTACACTTCTCTTGAATGCCATTGGTTTCACCCATATTAAATAATGCAGGACTCTTCCATGAGGGATTTTCATATATGTAAATGCACAGTTTCCATAACAATCTATTGTCAGTGGACTTTAAGGTAATGATGCCTTGTTATGATATTTGTGAGAGACATAAAATAACCACTGGATCTCATTATTATTTCTAACAGTGGAGACTGTTTTGTGTTTCAAAGCCTTCATTTGGATTTTAAGTAGGAGGGGTTCATATCTTGCAAGTAAAAAGTGGAATCAGTTCAATATGATAATAAAATTTATTTTAAAAAGCCCAGAAACTTAGAAGAAATTCTCCCAGGTGTAACTCAACCGGTTACAGCCTATTGTTGCTCCCTGGGAATCTGTGTAAATTGAGCAAGGAGCCATGTGATCTGCTCAGTACTCCCATTTTGAGTCTCTTCTTCTTAACAAAAGCTTTCTGCAAAGCAAAGCTTTGTAGGCAGGACATCTGTCGCTGTTTGGGGGGGCAAGTTGGCCATTGAAAAGAAGCAGTGACCTGTCAGCCTTGATTGATGGCCACAAGCCTCTGGTCTCGACCCCTCATGTGGGAAAAGAGGTCCAGCCAAGGAATGCCCTTATTCACATGTTAATTCTGGGCTATAAATACAGGCAGCCTTACAGAGGAGAGGCAAGAGAAGCAAAGAACCCTTCTGAAAAAGGAACAGCCGGTTACCCAAGTGCTTTCTTTCCCCCTTGCTTTCCAGCATTTAGGGGCAGACAAGCTGGATTATAATGACTGCCACGGCTATGGCCAGCAATGTGCAGAAACTTTCCAACACCAAAGAGGAAAGGAAGGTAGGTCATTTTATGTACAGATTTACACCTACCCTGACATGTGTGGGGTATGGATACTGCACATAAGTGTGTGGACTATTATTTAGACAACACTCACTGTAGATGGTGCTTCACAATTGCAAAAATGATAGACCAAAAATAATTCCTTTGATTATAAAGGAGTTTACAGGGTGTTTTTAACATTCTGGGCTGCATTTTCCTCTCACTTTACACTGGTTTTAAATTGGTGTATCTCTGCTGACTTCAGTTTAAGGAGAACAGACTGAAGCTTAATATGTGTAAGAAAGCGCTAAACTGGCAGAGTGGTAATGAGATTATAGAGCATACAATGTTTCCTACTTTGTACCACATCACCCTTGGATCCTCTGATGCCACAGGCAGAATGTGGCTCTTAAGGATTAAAAATGAGGGGCCCAATCTGTCCCTGACGCTGTCCACAATGGGAGTTCTGCCAGTGAGTGCAGTGGGAGCAGATTGTATTGTGATAAAACCTTGACATTCCGCCTCGTAAATCCTATTTTCTTTTTTAATATCTTCCTTTCAGTTAAGAAAGCCTCTGATTGAGCGAAAGCGAAGGGAAAGGATTAACAACTGCTTGGAGCAACTGAAGGAAGCAGTTGTTGGTGCATTTTGTTTGGACGTAAGTGTTGAATTTTTCTTGTCTCCCCCGCCCTTTCATTTTCTAAAAAAAACCCAAGCCCAGCATCATACAAAACATTTCTTCTTTACTGACCTACTTACCTTTTTTTTTAAAAAAAATAGCAGTCTAAACTTGAAAAAGCAGATATCCTTGAAATGACAGTAAAGCATCTCCAGAATATCCAAAACAACAAGATCATGGGTGAGTTTCTTGTTTTTGCATTTTTCTTTCATTCACTTCATTTCAGATGTGGAATGTATTTCCAATCTTGAGGGGTGGACTGCATTTTTAATCAAGTAATGTTTTTTGCAAAAATCTCTTTAAAACCTGATGACACCTACGTCTATTACCAGCATATCTTCTAGTTTCTACACTTTGCCACTAGAGGGGGATCTAAAGCCAATGCCTTTCAGTAGATGGGTTAAGGTTTTTCCCCCCAACAATGTTCTCTTTCGTTTTAGCCTTGCGCCACAATTTATAACAGCAATGAAATCAGAATTGAGGTATCCTCCTTTATTAAATGAAGTTGCGACAAACTTTTTATTGCTTGATTTTATTTTTTCAACCATAATGATCCTTATGGAAAAGCGCAAAAGAATTGATTAGGGATTTAATCAATAGGGCTTTATAGCAATTTAATTTAAAACCTATAGAATTCAAGAGAGAGTTATATTCTTTCTGTAGAATTTTTAAACCATCCTATAGAATCCAAGCTAGAATGCTAACCCTGTTATGGAATCACACAGGATGGTTTCAAGCCCTAGCTGTTATATAGTGACCAAGGCTATCATTCTCAGTTAAGTTCTATAGGACTTTTCCAGAAGAGGCAATATATTATGAACTTTTTGAATGCTTGTTTAGTCAAACATAATGTACTGCAAGCCCTGTGCACTTAAATTACTTGAATTATCTCCTGTTCTAATGCAGCAGATTCCAAAGTGGGTCTCGAAGCTCAGCAGAGGTACAGCACTGGATATATTCAGTGTATGCATGAGGTTCACAACCTTCTCCTGACCTGTGAATGGATGGACAAGACTCTTGGGGCACGATTATTAAATCATCTCCTGAAATCCTTACCCAGATCCAGCGAGGAGACCTGCAAAGCAGCCTTAAGGTCCTCGCCACCTGCTCACCAGTCTCACGCAGTGCAGAAATCCCCTATCTGCAATAAGGGGAATACCTCAGGGTCAAGTCCAGCTCAGGACCGGTTCTATCCTGTGGAGGAAAAACAAGCTTTGAAAAATTCATTTCAACCACAATCACTATCTCTCTTTAGTCAGCCTGATGTGCCTCCTTCCAGCCAGATCCTGCGGCCAAATTTTTCTCATAATAACCCTAATATGGGATCATTAGATATGTGGAGACCATGGTAAAATGTATTTTATATTTCCCCTTCTAATCTTAGACACTTCTATATGTATCTTATAGATATGCCTCTTTAAAACACCTGTGGAGCAAATCTGTTCCTGTAGGTGTACTAAAGACCAGGGTACTTCAAGCCGAAGTAAACCTATACGTAGCCTGCATTATAGAAGGCTGCTATTATTTTGTATTTATTTAATACATATAAATTATTGTATAGAACCTCTCTTGGGCTTTTACTGTACATTAATTATATAACTTTCTTATGTTATTAAAAGAATTAACATCTAATTAATAAAAAGAGAACTGAGGAAATACTATCTTTTGCATTTTGGTTTCTGCCGACATTTCTTTCAGATCTCACGTAAGCTACTGAGACCGTGTCCTTGAAGTAAAGAGGACAGGGTACACTCATTACTCCAGAGCAGTGGAAGTAACAGAAAGGAGAATTCAGCTCTAGCCTTCTGGAAATGCTACATTCATTCTAAAAACTTGGTTTTGAAATTTTTAATATTAATATACATTTAATTGGCGTTCTCTGTATTACCTGTTAAAACTAGGCTATAACATGCCCACCTGAAGAGACTTAGTTTTTTATAAAGAGCCAAGTCGATAGTGGCTTCTGTTTAATAACAAAAATATGTTGTCTGGTGCTTTGTATCTACATTTTTTTTTAAGTATAAATAAGTATTTGAAAGTTCAACACTGAAATTTCCCTGTCTACTTTTCTTCTCTCCATTGGGCATGCACAATGATCTGTTCTTGTAAGGTTGTTCCTAGGTGCTTGGCTGTTAGTTTTTGTTGTACTTTTTGTTTTAAAGAGAAAGCAGCCAGCTGCACACCCACTCAAATCTGAAGAATTAAATGAATCTTGTTAATATATGAGATTATAAAAAGGTCAGATGTTGGGCCCATCAACCTTGACAACTTCTTTAGGTTGAGTGAATTCCAGACAGGATATAAAGACCAGAAGGTAAGATTCCCTGCAAATCCTACCAATAAGTCTGGGAGGAATCTGCTAAACTTGTAGACAACATTTGGTCACAGTTTTTCAAGTCAAAGGCAGTTAAAACTTCTTTACAGTTAAAAGAGCAAGGGATCTCTTAAACAAACACTCTGCATACTAATTAATGACAGCCCCTCCCCAACAGGGGACTAATTATGCAGACTGATCTGTTTGATGATGTGTCGAAAGAGTGAAAGTCATCACCTTGGGTTTTAGCATCTCTGTGAAGCTCTCCCCTTTTATCCAGCCCTCTTGAAAAGCCATTAGAAATGGTAGCACAGGGATGGCAGGAGTAACAACTGGCTTACATGAAAAGAGGGCCCATTATCGAATGCAGGCACAACGCTGAAACTGTGGTTTCTGAAGCAACTCCTTTAGAAACACTGAATTGTACAAAACTATCAGTGGCCTAAATTTATGACTTGTCATTGTTTCTCCATTCTGGAACAAGCCTTCCAGACGAAAGATAACCTCACCAACGGCTAGCAATATAGATAACATGGCCCAGTCCAGCTCCCACTGAAGTCAATGGAAAGACTCCAACTGAGTAGAATGGAATTAGAGCAGGTCCATTCACCCAGCAGAGACAATATCAATATAAAATTCACATAGGCAATAAAAATTCCTTACTATTATTACTAATACCACCCCAAGTTATTAGAAGTGAAAGAATATTAAGCATCTGTACAGCTTATTATATATATTTGTACATTTCAGAGAGTTTGAACTAAGGCTGCATCAAGATCCACTACTGCAGTCCCTTGGTGTCAAGTCCCAGGGGCTCCATGTGGTGTAGGTATCCATGCTAGCAGATGCATATACAGGATCAGGGTCAAAGCTGGTCAGTTTCCCTTTTGTTTCAAGTCAGTTTCACTTTCTGATATCACGGGGATATTTAAGTAAAAATATTATTTAAACTATTCTAATGTCATGAAAATATTGATAATAGGTTTAGATACTATCAATTTAAAAAAAAATCACACTTTTATCTGAAAATTGTATATCCACTACTGTTATGAGTAACACCTAAGGTTATTGTAACTGAAAAAGATTAGCAACAGAAGAGAGAAATATATTTTTTTAAATAGGAAGTAGGAGTGGAAAACTTGGCAGACAGAAACCCAAAGAGAACTGGAGCTAGAAGAATCTCTTGCAAGATACTCATTTGGAATAAAGGGGATGTTCCTTAAAGGAAGACAAATGATTTGCAATAGTTTGCCCACATAAAGGTGTATATGTGTGTAGCAAAATGATTCTACATTTATTTCAAATCATTTAATTTTATCAAGCTTAATATATTATAACAACAGTATTAATCATCTACTTTGTACATATCTAGCCCTTTCAGCTGAAGATCCCAAAGTGTATTGCGTACTCTTATCCCCATTTTACACATGGGGAACTAAGGCTCAGAAAGGTTAAGTGACTTGTTCAAGATCACACAGTGGGTGCCTATACTAGAAAAATTAGTGCCCATATTACAGCAGCCAGCAACAGTGCAGCTCCACTGGCGCTAAGCCATCAATATCAATGTTTCCATCTACCTCATATTTCGATGGAGATGCCCTATTTTGACACATATATCCCACATCCTGTAAGATACTGATTAAGCTTGTCAGATAAAGTACAGTCACAAGCTGATTTAGGTTAATAAAGAATCCCCTGAGTGCGTGCAGAGTTCTGATGGCATGTCGTGGATTTATGCTGCTTGTTGTGCCCCAACATGGTGCTATTTCATTACAGCAAGAGTGAGGTTACATTGCAATATTGTGTTTCGAGATGAGACTCAGCCACAGTTTGGATCCAAATTTTCCTAAAGTTTGGGAGTTTTCAGAGCCAAGGTTTTAGTTTGGCTCATTTTAGGCCTAAATTCAGGACAGCACTAAGACATGTGCTTAACTTTAGGCATGAGCTTATGCCCCATTGATTTAAATGAGATCTAAGCATGTGCTGAAGTGCGGTCCTGAATAGGAGGGCTTTTGTGACTGCACCTTAAAGATAGGCACCAGCTGCTAAGTTTGGGTCTGGATTCAGACTTTCCTATGCAGCTGTTCCTGTGGGTGTTTGAAGCTGGGGTTTGGTCCAGACCCATCTAACTGTAAGGCAATGTCATCACATATTTATGCAATGCTTTGGGTGCAGCAGGACAAATCCAAACAGGTAGCAATCCTGTAGGATTGTGACAGGTTGATCCACTCTTCACAGGGATGGCACATCCTCCTGGCCACATTATTTGGATCTGCGGACCCTTCAGCTAAGTCATTAGTATGGTTTCCCCTTCTGAGGGAGAAAGTCTCGTCTCCCAGACAGTCTTCCTATTCACTGCCTCACTGGTGCCACCTCCCCAGTGGCTGGCTGGGGAACCCGGGCCCACCCTGTTCTCCGGATTCCAGCTCACAGACCTCTAATCAGCAGCCAAGGCCTGTTCCACCCTTTCCTAGCCTTCTGGCTCTGCCAGCTTCACCGCTCCTTCCTCCCAAGGCGTGCCTGCAGGCTCTCCAGCAGCCCCCTCTTTTGTCAGCTTCCTGGCTTATATAGGCCCTGCCTGTTCCTGCACAGGTGAGCTTCTTCTAATTAAGACTTCTTTCACAGTCTTAATTCCCCCCAGCTTGCTGCCTAATAGGCTAATCAGCTCCTCTGGTCTGCCTTAACCCTTTCCTATCAAAATGATCAGTGGGCCCAGTCCAGCTTGCACTGAAGTCAATTGCATTGCCTTCAAAGGGAACAAGATCAGATCCTTTAACAATTACCCAGGAGGTACATGTATAGCACTGAACCCATGACCCTGCATGCGTCCTACTATACTGTCTAGTCTCAAAACATACACATACTCAACCCTCTAGGAGGCCTTATGATCCCATATTTTCTTTCACTTCATACTCTCAAGGCTACTGTAGTGGAGCGACTGCCCCCACTCACTGAGAGTGTGGGCTTCAGCAGGCCAGTGTGCCTGCACAGCCAGGCAGCCAATTAGAGAAGGGCTTATTGGAAGCCAATCAGGGCCAGGCTCAGCCATATAAAAAGGCTGCTCAGGGAGAGGAGAGGCAGTCTGTCCCAGGCCTTTGACAGGGGAAGGTCTGTCTCCAGAGCTGGGAGACTAGCACCTGGACAGCGCAGTGCTGGCCAGGCTTGGGGAGCAGAATGGAGCTCTAGCCCATAGCCTGCCAGGTTGCAGGCCCTGAAGGGAAGGGCCTAATGGGTGCAAGGGACTGTAGGGGAAGTGGCCCAGGGAAGTGGACCCAGAGTAGAGGGCAGGCCTGGGTCTCCCCGCCCTTCCACCCTTGCAGTACACCCAGCCATAGGGAGCGGCCCTCATAGACTATGCCAGATCCCTGACAAGAGGGATTAGACTTTGGGGGTGTGGTTGGACATGGTGGCTGGGGTGTAGGAAGACTGCTGATCATCCTCCCCTGCCCCCCCCCCCCCGGAAGGGGGTGTGGATGGACTAAGGGACACTGCCGGAGGGCAGTGGTCCGGAAGAGGATACCGCGAGCTGGTGGGCGACGCAGGCTCAGAAACCAACCAAGGGTGAGACAATGGGTGGGACACCACCAGGAGAAGGCGCTCCACTGGACTGAGCTAACTCCCGGAGACAACCAGCAGAAGGCACTGGGTGATGAGTCCCAACCCTGTCACAACTTCACATGGGAACAGCCATCTTTCTGGCCAGGAATGGCCAGATGGTATCGCCAGTACAACCAGTCTAAGCTCCACTTTAATGGGCTGGAACAGGCGAGGCTGAAAGACACTACAAGATTCTATCTCCTGCTGGGCTCTGCTTTGGCCAAAAACATAAAATGAACAAACTAGTTAAAAGCCAAATTTTCATCCTCCATATTTTGCACCCATAATTTTGCATATGCAAATTCTTGCAAAGAATAGAACATAGACACACACCAACCTGACCACTTCTACAAGCCAAGTAGTGAGACATCTAAATCCTCTGCAGTCACAAGTGATTGGACTTGTAAAACAATAACTACTGGTGCACAAATGAAGGGGCCGATTTTGAACATTTAACCATCATGCCTAATTTGGGGGAAGGAGGCTAACATTTAAAAAATAGCTTTTGTTCACTGTATAGCTGCACTATACATATATCTCCCATTATAAGTTCATAGTCATTTCATTTTTAGTCTTTTGGCTTAATAGAAACAATGCTGCTTTTGGGACCTAAACCAAAGTCTGTTCCTGCATTCTGAGCTATCCCCTAAACACTGATAATATATGAGCATAAGCTAGTCCTGCATCTGTACACTCTCCACATTTCACTTACGTTGTCAGTCTACTCATGGTGAGAGCCAGGCTTAGCCTTGAACCATCTCCAAGTGAAACATGACATTTTGTCTGTGAAATTTGGTCATGGACTTATCAGAACATGACTATTCATCATGATGTGATTTCTCCAGTGGTTTGTGTGAGGCCTGGAGTTGGGTATAATGAATCCCAGTGTATATCCTGTAGTGTGAAAAAATGTCTGGGACAATTAGAATGGCTTAGCCAAATGTGGCATGACAAACATGACCCAACAAAATGTCCTGCACTGGAATTCCACCATGACCAGGTGGCCATGCTTTATAGCCCACAGCAACCGAGCCACAGAAATTCGAGTGTCTGAAAATGTTGTGGGAGCTTGGAGTGACCTT